TTTATGTACAATGCAAGGAGGCATTTGAATCATCTTGTCTTCAATCAACATATGGTGGAGATTTAGGAGATATACATAAATCTGTTCCACCACCTTTTTTATACTTCATTTTTAAGAGGGCTTTTCGTGTGATTCTTTAGGAGAACATTTCTATTGGCACCAAAGAGTTAATACAGGACAAGAAATGCATCAAATTTCTACTATAAAATTTTAGATTTTTTAGTGTTTTTTTGGTTTATTCTTAGCCATTTTTTGTTTCTATAATTGTAGGATCATCTTCTTTTTAAATTAGATGATAAGATTCTTAATACTTATTTTTGTTTAAATTTTAACTTAGTTTTATCTTATTATATAACCCTATCTTTTTATTAAAAAAAGAAAAAAATACTCGAGTGCTTGTCATTTGGTTATCCATGTATAAATGAAATTTGCACCCATACTTTATTTCCTCCTGAAATTTTTATTATCTTTTTATCTCTCTTGTCTGCCCTCTCTCTTTCACAGTATCTCTCTATTATGTAATTATATTTCATTAAATCTAAATAGGCATGATTTCTAAGGCTAAAATTCTTCACCTTTTGCGACTATCTCTCTTCCCAATATATCTAAAGCCAGAAAGTCCTAAACTCACGGTCTTTATTATTCTTCATTCCATACCTATGTTGTTTATCTACATGTCTTTATCTATAAGCATATTTAAATACTCTTTCAATTACGGATTGAATTTAAGGGAAAATCAAATAACTTAACAAATGAAAATGACTGAGAGGAGATCCTTGTCATGCTGGACCTATCATGAGTTTGAGATCAGATAGATCATTTTCTACGTTAGCGGGGATGACATTATTGGAAGGATAGAAATTTGAGGGATTTGTTGTTGATAAAGGAAGAAAAGGTTTTGGAGGGGAGGTGGATTATTGAAGGATGAGTCAACTAACTGTTGCCTTCCTTTTCCTAGCTCATTTAGGGTTGTAAATATTGGGGACCAAAGTTAGGTGAACGGCTGTTGAATATTTGGCATCTAAATAAGAGATAAAAAGCACATAGGCATCAAAATAAAAGTCAATAACATTATTAAGATGATGGTAATAAAAATTAAATGATTTGTTTGAACTAGTTTGCATCAAAAACATTCTCTAAACACTTTCCAATATTTAAAAAAATGGAACCTATCTAATATTTTATAAACTTCTTTCGTCACCCTAGTTTTTACTATATCTCTTATCATTCATGCTTAGTGGGGAGAAGAGCATTTTTGGTTTGCTATATCTGGATGCAAAATCAGCTCTGAAATTTTTTTGGAAAAAGTTGTTGTTTGAAGCTATTTTGGTTGAACTTGATACTGTTACTTGGACAATCCAACTGTTAACTGTTTATAAATCAACATATGATTATTTGTTTGGTAAAACTGATGTGCTGTTATTGTATGTGCTCAAATGACCTGAGTTACCTTATTCTTATTGGAGATTATATGAATTAAATATTACTGATCAAATTATTTTTTTATTTAAATTATTAATTGTGGAAGAGGAATATGCTGGTAATGACTATTTTGGTAATGAAGACAACTTGTAGGAAAGTTAAAGATGCGTCAATAGAAGTTGGTAGATAGTGGTTTGTAAGGTTTATTAGGTAAAACATAATGGGTGGTTCATCATCAATGAGGGTTAGTTCATCTCAAGCTTCATCTAGATATGTTGTCATTATTCAAGAAACAAAAAATGAGGTTGACTCAGTAATAGAAGAGCAAGAATAAGAAGAAAAAAAATCTACTTGAGAGGGATTATGTGAGTGAAAGAATGATGAATAATAATTTCCATTGAGCTTGTTTTATGAGATTTGAGATTTAAAGTATTTAACTTTAGATTTTATTCTGAACTAAATGTGATTTTTAAATTTTAATAATCACTTTTAATTTTGTCTTGAAAGCCTGAATTTCCTATATTTAACATAAATCTATTACACTATATTGAATCTTTTTATTAATTCCTATGCGTAATAGAAATTGCTAGAAATTTCAATTTGAAGGTTCAATTTTAAAGAATTTTTATATTTGGTTTACCTTTGATGTGGTTTAAATTTGATTAATTTAATAGTTATTGTATCATTATATGTGCGTGTCATATGTTTATATGATACAGATATCTTGAGTGCTATAGTTATTAAAAGCGTCCACTTTATTCTGTGGTATGCATAGTTAAGAATAAAAAATAAAAAATCCTTGTGCATTGTATTGCACTTATTGTGTTTTGAAAATACTATTAGTCACATGAAATTTAGCTATAATAATTATCAGTCCATGTAGATGTGAACATGAGATATATGAAATTCAGAAAAATATGATAAGGAAATGATTTGTAGAATCTGTTATGCCGGTCCAGCTTGGACCGGCTCTACCTGGACCGGCCCAGCAGGTCCAGTTCTATAAGCGACGGACGCAGAGGAGCCGCGCGGAAGAGAGAGGGAGCCAGGGAGTGGGGTCCACTTGCAATTCAAACATGGGTTAAGTGTTTTTGGAGGGAGAAGGAAGGGTAGAGTAGTCCTTTTGCTTTTAATTTAAATTAGATTGTATTAATAGGGAGTTATGAGGGGATTAGGTTTTGGATCTTGATTTTGAATGAGTTTTGTCTTCTAGGTTTTCTTGCTTGGGCTCTTGGCGTTGCCGGAAATTGTTGGAGAGTTGTTCTTCCTCTCGAATTGAAGAACATTGTATCTTGCTTTGGTTTTGTTTGTCTACTAGTGGAATACAATTGTTACTATTGTTTTCCCAACGTTTTCTCCCTATTTTCTCAGATTTTCCATTGTTTGGTGGCTGTTTTCTATTAAAAACAGCGGAATAATTGTGTTTTGGCGAAGATCCGATAGGAATCACTAGGAATATTCAAGTGGTCTCTATCAGAATCTTAGAAGGTTTCATCCATGAATTCTCAAGAAATTAAATGATAGGAAAATAGAATCATATAAAATAATGCAGGGAATATGGCAGAATGATTACAAGTTGAAAATCCTTGAATTCTGGTATTATTCTAGTTTAAAATGTATGTAATTTGAATTTATATTACGATCCATCAACTAGTGCCTTTAATTTCTCTCGTTTCACCTCCTTTGGATCTACATTTAATACATCATCTTCATCAAGCTTTAATAATTATGCTAATCTTATGCCATAGGCTATTATGGAGGATGATATCATGTCCATTTTTATAAATACTGTAATAATCATTATTTCGATTTATTTGATGACTGCGATTTATACAATTCATTGGAGCTAAATTATCAAGTTAGGTGGATTTGATTCAAATGTTCCTTTACAAGCCTCTTTTAATGGGCTCTCTGTTGTTCAAGTCTTTGTATAACATTCTTCTCTTGCATCTTTCATTTGGGCTTTGGATCCTCCTGTAGCATTATTGTTCAGTCCTTTCTGTGCTTTCATTTGGCAACCCTCTTCTTGTGACTATCTTTTGGCATATGAACATGTTTTTCTATTATTATCTATGACTTCATATTCCCGTTAGCTAGCTTTGTCGATTATCTTCAACATATATAATGATCAAGTCTTTAGTTGATTATGTTTTCAATGTTCAATTATTGTGGATTATAGTGTCTTTTCTTTAGAGTGATAAAAGGGAATTTCTATTGTTATTTGTTATTAAAAATGTGGGGCATTTGGCATGTTTGTAAATAGTGAATAACACACTGTAGCATAGTGTTCTCTAGAGCCATTATGCTTTACATTATTCTATTTTAAAATAGAGTAAATAAATAAACAAAAAAGAATAGTTCAACAATGCAAGAGAGAAAATACCTTGGAAGTGATAAAAAAATATAATCATTGCCTTATAATGAAACATAAGGTTATTATAAAATATGTGAAAGTTAATAAAAAACAAATAGATTGAAAAACCAACTATTATGGAAAAGAAAACAATTAAAATTGCAAATAAAATAATTTTGGTGATAGAAATGCATAGTACTAGGACAAATTATAAATTTTAAGCTTATGCACAAACATTAGAACTAATTTTCTTACATGCCCCATATTCATCAAAATCTAAAGTAGACTTTTTGATAATCATTATTATTATCATCATAAATTACTCTTGCTTTCTTGATCGTCTTTCAAATCATAATCTTTTTCATCAGTCTTCATTTTCATATTTTTCGACGAATATACTTAGCCTAGATAAATATTTTTCTTTTTCTTTAGATCAATCTCAAATATTACATATTCATTCATACGCACTACTAACTATTATAAGTACTCAAGATAAAACAATTAAAAACAATAATAAAAAAAATCAAACCAATAAAGTAATGCTTGCAATGTGCTCTACGAGCTTCAACACAACTGAAAAATTATACATATAACATGCTATTTTTTCCACTTTTGCCTTGCTATTCCAATAGCGCAAGTAGTGTGTGCCTTGCTACACACTGAGTTATGGCACACACTATTTTGCGCTATTAATCAATATGATTTAGGGCATGTGTATAAAAATAATTAGAACTTCAACAAAACTTGTAGTTAGATATAATCTTCCTTCTATTTTGGGTTTCAATTCTTGATCAACTGAGTAGCTTGAATAGTTACAGGAGAGGTTATCTAGTTGTTCAAATGATAGGCTTGATTATAAATTCTTTATTTTTCTTTCATCTAAATTTTGCTCTTGGTTTGAATGAGAGAATGAGTTTAATCAAATTTTGATACAATTTGGGTTTCAGCAAGTGCGTGAATTTGAAAGTATTTGTATAGCTTTTATGGTTTGTTAATTTCTATTCGATGGTCATTAGACTTTTGCTTGATTTGATTTCTATCTTGATTTTGCATTTCATCAAATGTGATGTATAATTGTTAAACTCAAATATTTAAGTAGTCTTAAAAAAGGTTATCCAAAAACCAAATTATGCCATGTTTTCCAATTTATTTATTCAGTTACTCTATTGCTACATTTATATATATAAGCTGGATGTTAATGACACATGCTCTTTCTGCTCAATAGGTTCTTGTCTGGCTTCTTGCTTGCTACGGTTCCATGGTATATTGGGGCTTTACTTTTTCTTGTTGGAGCCCTGGATCATCGAGAGAAACCTGGATTGGTTGCATGCACCGTTGCTGTAAGTATCGAATTAATCTTTCAGGAAGAATTTTACTTCTCCAATTATATCAGTAACATCATTTGTAAAACACTTGAATGGTTATTTTCAGCCTCATGTTTTCAATAATGCATGAATAAATTACTTTATTGGTTCCACTCTACTTTTTATTTATTAGTTATATTTTTCATCATCTTGGCCTATAAAACCGTACTCTTCAAACATTGATTTCAATACTATGCTGATTGTATAGTGGAATCCTGCCGTTTTTAAAACTTCTTTATCATTTAGAAAACTGATGTAAGTCGAAGTTCGATTTTAGATATCAAATTTAACTAACAATATGGATTAAGTGATTTAGTGGTTTGCTATTCATGATTTAAATTGTTAAAACATTTGTTATTTCAGTTAACTTTCTTACATAGATTAAGGGTCTATTTGGTTCAGCTATTTCCTTGGAATTTTTATAGTGGAATGATGCTCTTTAGAATCAAATGTACTAGAGTGTTTTAGATGTAAGAAAGTTGCTATTTGACAATTTTAAAAATAAAAATATCTATAATACCCATAATAATTTTTTAAAAAAATTGCTTTCTTCACAACAACTCTACTGTCATATTTATTAAATTTGCCATCACCCCAAATGAATTCTAAGAGGTTGTTTGGGATTACTTTTTATTTTTATTTTTAATTTATTGTTATTTTTACTAATATGAAATCAAATATGTTTGATGTTCTCATGCATTAATTATTTCCAAAAAAAATAAAAAATCATTTCTTTCAATATTCGTCTATAATAATATGTTTATTCAGATATTTAAAATTTGTATTTGCAAGAAAATCATAAGAAAACATAAACTATACCCTCGTGTTCCGTCCACCAATTTCCAAAGTTTATCAAATCCATAGGCTTTCTCCATCTCCGCATCTTCCATCCAAATTGCCATCCACAAGCTCTCCCATTTCCCCCAAACACCTATCTCTTATTATTCCCCATAGCATTTGCTGCTACCATCACCTACCCCGGCCTGCCAACTCTGGCAACGCATCTTTAGCAACCTCTTTCCTCTCCTACCACCTTTTCTTTTAACATCAATTGCCACAAAAAGAAAAGAAAGAAAAAAAAAATTCTATATAAACAAGTACAAGATGACATTGAAATTTTTGTGAAAAAATCTATCAAAAAATGGTCAAAATCTCTAGTAAATAAAAATTCTGGTGGATTTTAAACCATTCGAAAAACCCCATCAGAAATGTCTTTTAATGACCAAAAATGTTACCAAGAATTATCTTCGGCAGTTTATCAACTTGAATAAATCTTGAAAAAAAATGACATTATGGCTGCCACAAAAGCCACCGGTTGGGGAGAGGAATTGATAGATGTACCTGTCAGAGTTTCCGGCGGCTTAGCCAACAAGAAACCCCTTGGTAGTTTCCGACAGAATATCTACTGGTCATGCCGTTGGAAATGGCTGCGGGCACCTCACCAGTCAATTTCCTTGGAGATCTTGTTGGCTGGTTATTTCAAGCCCTTGTAGAAATTTTCTTAGAAACTTGTACTGCAAATAGAAAAAATTAAATAGCAACTCTATTGCCTAAAAATTTTATGTTTAGAAATGATCGCTTCACATACAATTCATATGAAATCAAGTTGATAGTAATGTAGATATACAGTCAACAAAAATATCCAATCACTAATTTGAAACATAAAGTTCAATGTAAAATCCCACACTGAGTTTGAAACATGTTTTAATCAAAACCTAAAATTTCAGCTGACGCATTTCACTCATTAGTTCATTCATTGATCTTGTTTTGTACTCCCTCATCTTCCTTTTCCCCTTCATCTAGTTGTTTCTTTTTCTATTGTTGGTGTTGCAGTACATCTACCTTAACTTGCAGTGCACTCATATCAGCATTCATTTATTCAGTCAATGAAGATGCCCTTCTTCTCACTACCTCATCAATTGTGTTCTCTCCACTATTAGATTAAGATTTTTGGGTATCATATGTTATGCTCACCGCTTGTTCCTTAGTATTTTCCTCCAACTTCTTTGCTCCGCAATCAAAATCTAATTGTTGCGGACACGTCTCCTACACTTGATTGGCCGTACAGATCCCTAAGCCACATATACTCATCCTATGACAGAGTAATGCATTAGTATATCTTCAAAAATTTTGCAATTGAGTAATATTTGTGATATATTTTCAACCAATTGTTGGTCCCATTTGTCATGACTCGGCTTAAAGGCTCAAATTAACAAGGCGGGAACAAACAGTCAGATGGTTGATTAAATTTTTGTCAACTAATAATCTATTTCCAATAAACTAAAAGAGCCACTTAAAACTCAAAGATTTAAAGTAAAATGCTATAAATATTTTTCTCTCGGAGCATCTCGCCTATGATACACGTCTCTCATCTTATACTCGTTTGATCTCTTTGAATAATACTTTTGTTCATTTGTAAATATAGGGGTGAGCCATAATAAAACTCAATGAGCACATCATGCTTCTAAATTACAGTAATACAAGACCTTAGGAATAATATGCATGCTTGTTATAAACTATAAAGTAACTTTATTTAATAAACTTTGAATTTGAAAATGTCCATAAATCATATCATATGCATGTATATAATAATCATATCATGTCACGACTTTTTTTGTAATTAATACAACCATCACAGGAGACACCGTCTAAAATAGTACCAATAAAGATACTTATTTTTCCATAGTTTTTTTATTTGTGCGAGCAAGTACATTACATCCCTAGCCATTACTATAAAGGATATGCTCCATCAATCAATCATGCACATACAAGCATTCTACATAAATTATTTTATCTATATCATTTTATGTTAATATATAGAGTAAGCATCATGACATCATATAAGCAATCTCACTTATGATATAAAATTCATGGTTTCTAATTCAGCATGATCAATTGTCTTTAATAAATGTACTTCATAGAGCATTAAGAGTAAGAAATAGTAATAATGTTGGATGCATTATGTGTAGGAGAAGCAAATATCATTACTGTTAATTAAGACATGAGTTATCACCTTGAAATCAGGATGTTTTGACAATTCGTTTAGTCACCACTCTTTTGTCGTCAACTTTGTACCTATATAATTTCATTTTCATCATCATAATATTTAATTTATAATTATTTCAATATTATTTTCTATATCTAGTATAATTTAAACTTATTACTTTATATACCAAAATTCCAATAACTAAAATCATAATTATTGATATATCATCAAAAAATTATTTTGATCGGGCATGAATCTCGAGGCAAAACCAAGTTGGATACTTCAAAAATTAAATCTGGGATCACCTAAACTCTGATTTCAGCAAACTTACAGTCAAACTGGGCATCTTGGAAATACGAACCCAACGACACCAAATTCAACTCAATCCAAGCTCAAATGAGTCCAAATCAAGAACCCGAAGCGCTGTTGGAAAGTTCTTACCACAATTTGAGTTACCAAACGGTCTCCGAACTTGACGATCTTATGGTCGAATCGAGTGGCTCGACGAGACAAATCCAACGAGCCCAAGATCTCCGAATTCCAACCCCACTAAAACCTTCAAATGTCTGACGAACGGTCCATGATCAAGGGATTCAATATCGGTCGTCCATCGAACCACTCCACATTTGCCCATGATCTCTCACATATTTGCAGGCCATGCCACTCCATAATATCTATAAATAGACCCCTCATTTCTCTTGAGAGGGGACCCAAGCAAGAATAAGAGGAGAAGAGAAGAAGAGGGAAGAGACTCATCCTCGACCACCGCCGGAGTTCCACCCGAACTCCAAATGACGCCAGAATTCTGCCCGACTTCCACGGAACGCTGAAATTCTACTCAAGTAATGACAGAGTTCCCCCCTTGTTGGTGGAATTTTGGAAAACAGGTTTTGAAAAATATTAGTTTTCTTTGGGGATTTTACGATTAAGGTTAAGTTCCAATTCTAAGGTCGAATCAACTCGTTAGAAAGAGTATATCACCCCGAAGGATTAAAATAAACTTTCATAACGGTGTTCAGACTTAGAATTATGTAAACTCATCTTGAATACTATGATCGGGTTCTAAGAAGAACTTTATATGGCCCCAAGGGGACAAAGTATAGTTCAACTGAGTACCCAGTTACAATATTCAAGAAACATGATCATCGCATTCACATCCAGAGCCTTATCGAAGAAGGGTGTATCTCCCCAAAGGGGAAATGAGACCCTCCGTCGCCAGCCGACTAAGGTCCTCCTGACTTACGTCGCTCGCCGACTACAGTCATTCCGACCTCCGTCTACCGCCGACTACAGTCTTTCCGACCTCCATCGCCCGCCGATTACGATCATTCTGACTTACGTTGCCTACTGACTACAGTCATTCCGACCTCCGTCGTCATCTTACTACAGTCCTCCTAACTTACGTCGCCCGCCGACTACAGTCTTTATGACATCCGTCGCCCACCGACTACGGGCCTCCTGACTTACGTTGCCCCCCGACTACGATCCTTCTGACTTACGTCGCCCGCCGACTACGGTACTTCTGACTTACGTTGCCTACCGACTACAGTCCTTCCGACCTCCGTCGCCATCCGACTACGATCCTCATGACTTACGTCGCCCGCCGACTACAGTCCTTCCGACCTCCGTCGCCAGCCGACTACGGTCCTCCTGACTTACGTCGCCCGCCGACTACAGTCTTTCTGACCTCGGTCGCCCGCCGACTATGGTCCTTGTGACTTACGTCGCCTACCGACTACAGTCCTTCCGACCTCCGTTGCCAGCCGACTACGGTCCTCCTAACTTACATCGTCCGCAGACTACAGTTATTTCGACCTCCATCTCCAGACAACTTTCTTTATGACCTCCGTCGCCCGCCGACTATGATTCTTCTGACCTCCGTCACCAGACTATGGTCTTTCCGACCAAACGAACACATCAATAGTGACTCTTTGTATTCTCATCATGTAATGTACTCTATAAAATGTACATCAAGCTAAGGCTTCCTCCT